AACGTCTCCGAGTACATGAGGCACACCAGCGCCGGCATCTCCTCGCGACTGCCCTCGCTGATGTGGTAGTTAAAGCTGACACACGGGCAAGCGACATTGTTTGTTTTAATATATGATAAGGAGGCAAACGTGCAGTAGTACGCTTAATAAAAAAGTCTCACCGACAACCATGGACAAACTCCACGTCAAAGGTAAATTTAAATTAATTTACAATGCTACAAAAATCAAAAGAAGTTTATTACGATTTAAAGTTAAAGGGCGGCACGATGGCGCAGTTGGTCTCCAGCTCCTCGAGGTCGTGTCCGCAGGGGCGCAGGTGCAGCCCCAACAGCTCCGAGTACACGCGGTTCAGGTTTTCCTGCGCCGACACATGCACGTTACAAGGTCGCCGGCAACGACCAATATCGCTATGAATATATGTATACCTTTGTATGTAGCGATACGTTCTGTTTGTTTGCTTTAAAGGGGCAACAAGATACGCACGTGGTAGAGCTTGCGCTGCTGCATGTGATAGAAATGCACAATGAGAGCGCAGTGGTCCACGAACACCCGGAAGATCTGCTCATCTTCTGCGTCGAACGGCCGCCCCGAGTCCTTGTTGGCCAGCTGCACTACTCCTGCGGCGACGCAACACCAACATTGAACTATCTCTCTTTAATCCTTTGGCAAGTTTTATTGTTATTAATAAAATAGCATTGTTTAATTTCTCTAGCAATTAATTTCTATACCTATAACACCCTTCTTGTCTTTGATGGGGTAGGTGAGAGAGGAGCGAAGCACCATGCCTGTTGCGGGGTCCACGTCGCGCAGGAAGCGCGGGTCGCGGAAGGCGTCCTGCAGGTTGAGCGGCGCCCCGGTGCGGGCCACCAGCCCCGCTGGGCTCTGCTCCATGCTTAAACTGAGAAAAGAACTCATTCACATGTTTCTTAATCGAGTTTGAACTTTGTTATTACAACTATATGAAATACATGCTCTGATGCTCTATCGATTTTTGCCTAGTGTAAGCTTGATATGAAGTCATATATTGGAAACAAAGGAGACTATGTACATTACATATAAGAACAAATAACATCTATAAGTTACAAGGGGCAGGAACAGTCGCGTGGCACGACAATTTCGCACAGCGCAGAGGCAGTGTCCTCACGTACTTGACCTTGGCCTTCTTCTTGGGCAGAGCGGTGCGCTCTGACTGCCAGCCATCCTCCCACACGTCGGCCACCAACTGGTGCTCCATGTGCTGCCGGTCCACGATCAGAAAGCTGCTGCGCATCGCGCCGATGAAGGATTTCACGATCGCCTGTAAGTCCACGTTTCCTAACGATTTTCACTTCTTGCACAAGAAGATATCTACGACGTCATAGTTTAGAAAACCTCTAGGACACTTGCCATATGCGGTTGGAACTTTATCCTCTTAATGTAATCTTTCCCATGTAAGTAATGGTAGTGGCTACCGGTATTAGTAAGATAATGTGTAGAAGGGTTTTGTACGAGCATGTCTGTGAGCATAGTGTCGAGAGCAGCGCGCTCGCAGAAGTAGTCGTGTAGCAGCGCGCGCAGCTCGAGGTCGAGGTGTGCGGCGCGCTGCAGCGTGGCGCGCGCGCCGGCCTGGTGCGCCGCCGCGCCCGCCCACCACGCCACGCTGGCGCAGCTGTACACTGCGCGCTGCAACACACACGTGCACCGCACTCCGCTAACCACAATGGGAAGGGAAAACACTTCTGCCATTCCTAAAATTTATTTTATAAATACTCAAAAATGTCATCGGATTCCATATGATATCTGTACTAATATTATAAAGAGGAAATATTAGTATTTTCTTATATATTAAAATAACTCAAAAACTACTGGGCCAATTTTTTAAATTATTTCACCGTCAGAAAGGTAATTTATCTGTAAGTAACGTAAACTATATTTTTTAATATCATGCGGGCGAAGTCGCGAGCAACAGCTAGTTGCTCATATAAAAAGAACAGATTTGCTACTTGGGGCGCCTTCGATGAAAGTGGAATATCGTCGGGACGCACGTCATCGTAGGGTTCGCTAACGGTCCTGTAGAGCTCGAGCACGGCGTAGCAGTCGCCGTCGGGTTTGAGCACGGGCACGCAGAGCGCCGTCTTGGCGTCCACCCAGCGCAGGCCCTGTGCGAAGCGGCGGTCACGCTGCACGTCGGTCAGCACCAGGTGACGCTTGGTGGCAGCCACGTGCGCCGCCGCGACCTTGCCTTCCTCTGGACCGCATACAAAACATTCATTCTACTAAACACAATTGCTATTCCTCCAAAGGTCATTGGTGTTTGTCCAGCTCGCGTAGACATAGATCACATAAAGGAACACACAATTGATTTAGGTACTTCAAGTGGCATTCTACTTTTTGTAGTAGGTTTTTGGTGTAGGCTAGATCTGGATTTTTTTTTAATTTCCCGTTTTAGGTATGTGTTAATGAGGAGAATATACAGAGCGCACACACCAATGGGTATGTTGATCTCGTGTCGTTCCGGATTCTTAATGTTCTTCGTCATCAAAACGATCTCATTCTTCAGCTTGTCCACGATGTAGACAAATACGCCTGAAAAGTTGGCAAAAACGTAAGACGAATAAAAATTAATTTGTGCGAAAACTGAGTTATAAAGCTAATAATTAGGATAAATGCAGAGGATAGTTTAGAATAACACAAAGACTACTTTTATTACATTTTCTAACAATCACACGCGGACGGTCGCGACCGTAGCTAGTATGTTATAATATTATTATTTGTAATGTGATGATGACCGGAGCTATCGGTGATGGTCTTGAGGACGGCGGCGGTGTCGCAGAGCAGCGTCTGCAGGTCCACAGAGTCCTCGAGGAAGACGTGGAAGCGGGAGATGTCGAGGTAGGAGTCGCGCGCCTCCTCCTCCTTAAGGCCCTTGCGCTCGATTTGCGCGTAGGGCGCGATCACCCGCCGCGTCACCTTGTCCAGCTTCTCCGAAGGCACCAGGAAGTGCGACTGCACCTTGTTCATCGTCGACATCCTCTTCAGCGTTAACTCCTCCGTCTGGTTGATCGTGTCCAGCCGGCTCTTCACCGACCGCACGTTGCGCGGCGTCGGATCCACCATCGCGCAATTTAAGTCTATAATATTAGTTAACAATGTTTGTATGTAAAAGTATATTAATGTATTTGTTTATATAGAAATGATTGATTGATTGATATATGTCAAACAATGACACTGATGTTGCATTTAATTTATATATTATTACAGTAGGTATTGTTAAGAAATAGTTTTATTGCATGTATTTTTTTTGACTGAATTGTCACTGTTTGCCTTGAAGAGGCATTTACAGCTCCACCGGGCTTTAGGTGGCCGAACGCGGATGGCGCTCCGCCTAAACCTCGTATATGAGTAACTAAGCTCGAGGGCTCCCTCAGGAGCCTTGGCTCGGGTCGCTACTAACAGTAAAATATTTTTTACGTTTCGAATAAAGAAAACATCAAAGTCATAGATGCCCACAGATTACTTTATAATATACTAGGTTTCCTTGTGAGATGTACTAAGATTGTGCAGCCTGCAGATGCATAATGTCGCTAGAAGATAGGAGGGAGTGACGCAAGTCTGCCAGCAGGCAGCAGCTGTTGCGCACGGAGCTGTCTCGACCTCACAGCATACAGGTGCCAATTTGTAATTCTCGTTTTATTTCTCCGGACGAGTACGATGTCTCAGGCTTGGCGGCGCAATCTCCTACACCTCTATTTTCCTCATTTTACACAATAAGGACATTTGATAGATTTGAAAGTTTGCAAGACACTTACATTCATTGTTTATCAATGAGTAGTGCGTGGGTCTCGAACGCTTGCCTTCAGTGTTTTGGTGTTGGTTAGTTGAAATGAAACAACGTGTAGGATATGATAGCAAGTTTCTTTATTATCCTATTACGATCGACATAATACAGTATAACATATAAACAGTCTGTACCAAACATAATATTCATATAATATTCCTCTCAGTACTGTGATACGACTACAAACATGATTTGCAGCAAACGTCTCTGCCGGTTCATCTTAAAGGTTTAACCTTCATTTATTTTCCGTTTACCTCAATATCGTCAAAAACTAATGCATTTCCTCTGATTTTCAAATGATGTTCAATTAAAGCTAACTACAGCTAAGTATTGAGAACACTCTGCTCGGTTCGGCTGCGCTCGGCTCGGCTCGGCAAAGTTCGGCACCGCTCGGCAAAGCTCGGCACCGCTCGGCGCGACACGAACCCGAGCCAGTGTGACTACATCTCGCGAGTGAAACTACCTAATAAATATAATTTCTTAAACAAAAGCGAAACTTTACATGAATGAGATTTATATACGCAGAATATATAAAGCGTTATATTAACCCTCTCGAGTCGAGAGCGACACGACTAAAGACAAACAAACATACATCTCCAATGGCTCGCGATAAATATATTTAAATTTAACGACTTCAATATTATTGCTTAATTTTAAAGATATCTTGTAAACATCAGTAGAGTGTCTTGGTGCAGTCGCTCGCCCCC